AGGTGAGCTATAACAAACCCAGAATCACCGTTTAGTTTGCTGCTTCCAGCTGTTTAGGATTATTTCCTCTGAGTTAATTAAATACCTGCAGCATCAGGATCCATCCAGAGAGAGAGAGTTGCCGTATTTACCTGTAGAGCAACAGCAGTAACTTCATTAATTGGTTTTAAATATAAATTACCCCCATGTGGAGAAAATATCAATCAGGATGTTATGTCTTAATGACAGAAAGGTGTCACTTTAACAGATATTAAAGGGGCTCCAGATGTCATTGGGTTTAGTTTAGTTTTATTACCCCGTCTGTTTGGCCTTTCTCAGGTCTGTGAACCTATCCAGAAGACTCATCCAGCTAGTGTTTCTCGTGTATCAGTGCAAACATCATTGATCCGTGGTGCTGGAATCAGCTGTAGAATTTCATTTCCAGCGCCTGAAATCTTAAAAGTGCTCTCAGTCGAGGATCACACTCTTCTGAGGTGCAGCGCGCTACAAGCACATGAAAAGAGGAGCACCAGCGAGAGCTACTTGAGCCAACATTTCGCCCTGCAGGGCCGGTGGAGACGTCTCTTTGCTCGAGCCAGAACAACAACGAGTGAACCAAAAGCCTTTCCTCCGTCTATAAAGCAAAGCCGAGATGTTCCAAGAAAATCCTCATGGCTTCAGGTCTGGCAGATGGGGCATGATGAAACAGTCAGAAATAGTGTAGTAAGAATCTGCCTCTGCCACTCATCTCCTCTCCATGTCACTGTCACGTCAGGATCAGCCAGGATGTGAGGTCCCTGTTTTAAACTTTTAGCGATGCATAGGTGGATGTGGTTTTACATCAGGCTGCTCTTTCCTGACATGTGCAGCTGATGAAATTGGATTTCCTGTCTTCGTTCATTCAGTCTTCTTCGCGGTAGTTCTGGTGTTTTCTCTGAACTGTTGCTGCCTCGTCTTCCAGAGTTTCCCTCGACGGACAATCAGCAAAAAAACATCCACAAAGAGGTTATTAAGAGGAAGTCCAATGAGTGTTTCAGCTGTGATGGTGGTTCCCAACCTGTGGCTCTGGACCCTACAGGTGGTCCTGAGACGAATGTAATCCAGGTCAGCAAATCTGCCACTAGGAGTCTGTCACTGGATTCCTCCTCCATCCCTTGTCTGTCTTATTCAGAGCCACGTTTACCCATTTGAGTATTAACCGAATCATTTTTATTGTCAGACTGATGAGCAAAACTAGCTGCCTCATAAGCTACGTGTGAAAAAGTGTTGATGAGTAGGTTGGAGGAACATTTCATGTTCATGTTTCCCATTTATAGTCCAAGTTGGTCACATTTTACACTTGAGAGAAATTCTGCGTAAACGTCTTTAAACGTTTTCCGTGAGTCTGACCGTTAAACCCTGGAAATGGTCGAACATGCTGCAGGTCATCAGCCTGAACCCCCAACGCCAGCAGAAGCATTTCATCACTTCGTTTAGCTTCACAGCACCGAGCATGTTAGCATGAACCAGCACCTTCATGTGTTCACTGCTCTCTGGTGTTAGAG